AGCACAGGTATCCTAAGAGGAGAACGATCTAAGGCGACCCTATACGGACTTGTTCTTAAATATAGTTATTGCAGCATTACTCCCAAACATAACTATTGATTTTTAGAGAAAGTTTAAACTTATCAGAAAACAATGTAATAAGATCAGAATTTTAGATTGATAATCTTTTAATAATAATATTTGTTTTTGATATGCTGATATCCAAACGATCTGTGCTGAAACCAGATTCTCTATTAGAATTTAAAATTTTCTGGAATACAAAGAATATAAGTAAAAATATATAAATCCGTTCCAAAAATCAGGACTACTTGCTTGAAGTTTTCAACTTAGTTTTAAAGGCGAAAGCTCTAGTTTATCAAGATCGTAAAGGTATGCTGTTGTATGTGCCCTGCACAAGCTTCACGCAACGTTATCAAATAATAATTCTTACTTCTCGATTTGATGTTTACAGGGTATACGTAAATATATTGTCAAAAGAAATCACAACGAGCTCCACCTTAAAAATGTGCATGTGCCTTGGATCGAAGCATTGCCGCGTAGTCATAGATTTTAACGGCAACTTCATGGAGTCACGATTTGTTACACATACACACACACATACATATATATATACATACATACACATACATATATTCGGTTAGACATTGGGTGTATAGCCGGCTCCTTAATCTATTGACTAAATGCATTGCATAAACTCGCGGCCAAACCTCAGCGGCGACGATTTAAACCAAAACAATGCAACAAACGAGTTCGATGCTGTTTTTTATTTTCATTTTCATTATTATACCCTTGTAGAGTATTACAGCTGCGTCGTGGACTGTGTAACACATATAAGAATTTATTTCAAACTCTATAATGTATATACATTCGTGTTCATCTCGTATGTAGTCATATATATTATATCATATCATGATATGGCCGAAAAGGGAAAAATCGATTGAGAAGTGATTGAAAAGATGATATATTGACCAATTTAATTGACAATTTTTCTCGCATATCTGCTTACTCGTATGCTAGCCAGATAAGAGTATTTAATCTTTGGCATGCCGTTCTTTTATATACTATTATTTTGATTCGTGTGACGACTGCAAATAGCTCGCAGGCGCTTTGGCTTGAGAAGCAGGCTATGCACCCATACCCCTGCCCAACCCCTTCCCATTACCCACCCACACCCCTCGCGAAACGTATTTTACGGCCATGTCAAAAATTATGAACGCAGTCAATATACATTCGATATGGATCCAGCCACTGGGTTCGCCATTAGTTCGTTTCATGAGCAAGTTTTTCACTTTAGTCGCCAACAAAATGCAAATTGCCAAATAAAATTGGGCCGAAAAATAAAACCGTTAACACGGCTTTAAGCTTTTGATTCTTATCGAGGCTATCAAATAACGCCCTCGACTACGCCTACCACTAACAAACTGGGCCGCCAGTCGGCTAGAGGCTAACAACGACTTGAAGGCGGCAAAAGTCGCGCTTTTGAACTAACCAAATCGGTTGTAACTAGTCGCAGCATTGCTTAGGTCTATTGAGTTAAGAAGAAAGAGACAGAGAGAGACAGAGAGAGAGAGAGAGAGAGAGAGATAGAGAGAGAGAGAGAGAGAGAGAGAGAGAGAGAGAGAGAGAGAGAGAGAGAGAGAGAGAGAAGAATGTGGAAGCGAATGGGTTATATGATTACAATACAATCCACTTCAAGTGCAATTGCCAGGCATTGTGTAAAAAATAATTGAAGATATAAATATTTGGTCATTTCCTGAAATTACAGCCAGATGGATGATTGAAATGGGATAAAGTAGATAACAAGTCAATTATGAACAAATATTTTTAAATTTAATTTTTATATTCTCATGGGCGAGAAATGTGTTGCAATGTCTATTTATAAAGAATCTAGCTTAAACTGGACAAAGCCGGTTAATATCCTCTATTAAGATACAGCGATAAAGAACTTTTGATCAAGCGCTTCATCGAACTGAAAGACACAATTGCCTTAACATCTTATAATTAACCAAACATATTAAATTCTTAATTTTTATAAAATCATAGTAAATTTAAAGGTTACTTTGTGGTTTATGAAATTGCATTCATATTTAAGGGTAAATGTTGTAAATTTAGAAAACGATTTGTCTAAAAGCTCAAGCTCCAGCCACAATTATCAGTCTCTGCCTAATTGCCATTGTGGCAGCATTCGATTTAAGCTGTGGTGGCATTGTCCTTGGCACTAAACAAAACATAAATAATGCCACACTTTAAATTATTCGGCTGATAAAAATGACAGGTTGGATTTATGGCATATGGATGCCACAAGAGGTAAGCGGAGCAGAACCTTTAGATAATAAGCTGCGGCTGGCTGTGATTGGGATTTCGGTAGCCAAGTTTTTATCACTCGTTAAGTTAGTGCGCAAAACCAATTACAATTGTGAAATGCGTTGTAGTTGCCACAACTCGTTGCAGGCTGCAGCGTATGGCAATTACTTTAATTATGCGACTGCAAAACCAAAAAACCCAATACACATTGGCGACGACAAGCCACCAACAAAATGTGGTTCGATGTGGTGACCGGCCAACATTTGCAACACATACATATGGGAGACGGCCGTTCGGGTTACCTAATCCATTGCCAGACGTGGCAAACGGGGTGTGCCCCACAGCCAAACATGATGCACTGCATCCGCTGGGACAGCTGCCCCGCCCAGAGTTCTCTGTCCAATCTACGCCGCGAAATGTTTCATTAGACATGATATTTTTTTTTAATCTACCATTGGTTACGCACAACTCTTGACATTAGGCGCGCTGTGCGTAGCAGATATAGATATATGTGTATATAGATATTTGCAGTTACGTTTATCTTTTTTGCAGGCTTTACAATTTGTCCTCATGGCGTTTGTGGGTTTTTGTTTGCCTCGCGACTTGCCTCTAATTGCAATTTGATTGTTTTTCGCAGTAATTATTTCAATTGTAATAAATTTTGTTGTCATTTTTACGAAAATTTAATGTTGCAATTTGTCGCAGGCGGCGTGTTTGTGTGCGTGTGTTTGCAGAGTGTGGCTAATAAACACTTTTTCAATTGCTTCTCTTAACCACAGTTTGTGTGTGTGTGTGTGTGTGTGTGTGTGTGTGTGTGTGTGTGTGTGGGCTCGTCGCAGTCGATGGGTGTTTGAATTATGTTAATTGGTTTTGCTTTGCGACATTTTCCCCTATTTTAATATTTTCAAAAATTCTGCAAAATGCACATTTTAATTTCCGAGTTGCTTATGCGTGGAGTGTCAAAATTATTCAAACTATATCGAAGGTAGAAATCGCTGGAATACGATTAAAGACCAAAATATGTGAGAAGGGGTAAGGTAGACATTCAATTACTATTTTATAAGAAAATTGTGCACAAATAACAAAAATGTCTATGGTATATTAGTTTTTTTTTCCAACATGCATAAAACTCAAATGAAAAATCAATGTGAAGGACACCCAATGACTAAAATGCCCTCGAATTTGAAAATAGCTCCAGTTTTGCAAAACTTTAGTGAGATTGTTTTCTTTTTATTCGGGAAATTTATTTTTACCATAGTTCTTGACTTCTCAAAAACCGTTATCAGGTTTATGTCATACTACATTTAGTTACTGATAATTAAAAAAAGTAGATTTAACAAAATAATTGAAATACAATGTTTTTTATCCAAAATCTAAATTGTTAACAAAAAAAAAAAGAAAATGTTTACTTCAGGAAGAATATTAATTATAAGTTAAATCTTGTTCGCGCTATCGGACAAGATAATATGTAAAAAATTATGTTTACGTCGGCCTTTTTCAAGAGGCAGCTGCCCTTCAACGAAAGTTCATATGCCTACTGCATGTAGGCAGTTGCACAACACACACTTGACTTGAATGACGGCTTACAAAATAAGCGACAGCTATAAGCACAATAACGATAACAACAACAAGAATCGAGAATAAGACAAAAAGTAAATAAAACACTGTGGAACAAGGTTAAGGTCAATTACAATTACAACAAACGACAACTGCCAACATCGTGAATAAATTGCGAGAATTGTAGAATGAAATTGAGAACAAGTTTTTAGTTTCGACCGGGCCAACGGACGGATCCGCGTGAAGGCAAAGCATGCAAAATACTTGTGAGTGGGTTGCAAATGAAGGAAGCGAACGGAGCTGCTGCAGCTGCAGTTGCAAATTAAGCTGATGAGCGATAAAAAAACAAATAAACGATGAAGACTAAATACCCTATAGCTTAAAACTATATGCGATATTTGAGGAGAATAGTCAAAATATGTTCAATACAAAAATGCATTCCGCGTAAATACTTCTTCTACGAGCGAGTTTTAATGTAGATAAGATTATTGATGACTGATCATATATATTGTGCGTGGTAAAGCTTTTAATGGCTAAGCATGGTCAAGACATCTTGCAGACTTAAACAAAGCTCAATATCTGCCTGTTTGCATGTCTATCGATATGATATAATGGAACGATGCAGTTGATCGAGAATATATAATATATATACTTTATGAGTTCGGAGATGTCTTCCTTTTTGCTTTACACATTTCACAAGAAAATTATAATATCCTCTATGAGGGTATTAAATCCAAATTATTATTAAGCAATTACGCGTGCTTGTCATTTAGTCGCAGATAAAGTATTTTCCCAAAGAAGCTGCAAGGTCAATGGCCAAAACAAGACAAAAACTTGTCAACATGGCCACAAAATGTTGCGCAACAAATGATAAAACATGAGAACATGTTGCACAATGGACAGCAGCCGAAGCGGGTCAAAATTGGAGGTCAGAGTTGATCTACAGTTGACAGCTGCGCTTCCAGAGTTAATTGCCTAAACCGAAACCGGGTGTGGTCAAACTCCAAATTATAATCTTGGCATTAATGCGATTAGCAACGCCAGCAATTGTTGTTAAAACCTTGAACTTTAAGTTTTTAGTTTTTCAGTTTTTGAGGTTTGGTTATTTATATTTCTTGTTTTGTTGTTGTTTCCTATAGATTGCCGTGAAACGGAACGCTCGAAGCGTACCAAACGGCCACGCGCGCCGGAACCGGTCAACTTCGAGCCGGAGCCGCAGCAGGATCTGGAGAATGAGGAGAGTGGCAGCCAGGAGAAGGATCTGCCCGAAATACCCGATAACTTTTTAAGTCCCTCGGTGCGAGAATATCTGGAGCTGGGCAAATCCATACCGGGTGAGCACATTACTGCTAACAAGTCAATCAATATGCGCGACTGCTCTGCATTAAATACATGCCGCAAGCACGGCCTAAATCTGGCTGAGGGAGCGGCAGCGTAATCACTGTCAGAACAACTTTAGTTACCCTGTATATTCCTATAATACCCATTGAAAATGGTTGAAATTGGTTTTAGAAGCTAGACTTAAATTTCGATCTTAAAATATTGATAAATTTCTCGATTTCTCATAAATTGAATTGAAGCCTCAGCTCTTTTAAGCCCTTCTTGATGAATTTAGGAATCAGAGAAGAAGAACATTGAAGAACATTACAAAAAGATCAGACAATAAACAGAAAAATTACTTGGGTTGAATAATCCACAAATGGAGAAGCGAAAAAGATGCCGAATCGCTATCCAAAGGCATAAAGTTTAGATGTACAGGGTATCTGTTAGTCGGACTAGAGCAGACGTATTTGTTTTCATTTGCAGCTGCAAAATGCATTTTTGTCCAGAGCGCAAATAAAAAAACGCTTTTTAAATTATTTTTCGAATGGAAAATTTGGCACAGAAGTGCAGCTACTCGTAAATTCATTTATTAGCGAGTCGAGGGGTCAAGCGAGGGGTCGGTGGAGCCAGCGGCATGTCAGATTTGTTTATGCCAACATACAACAGTTTTTTTAAGCGGCCCGCTGGCGGCGTTGTTGTGCGTGCATTTGACATTTTGCGAACGGGCCAACAGTCGTTGGAGAGAGGGGGCTAGGGCAGTTGCTGTGGCATCCATTTTTTATAGCCTGGTTTTATTTTGGGCTGCAACTGCACTTTCTTTTAAGTAAAAAATCGACACATGAAGTGAAATTGATTGGAAACAAACAAGACACGTTGTGTATTTGCCAGCGCTAATTGCAATAACCAAATAATCTTGCAGGTCGACCCGGCGTGGACTATCCGATACTCTCAGCCGTACCCTATACCAACTTCTACTGTGACGAGCAGTCCTATCCGGGCTTCTTTGCGGACATGGAAACTAGATGCCAGGGTGAGTCGTAAGCCAGAGTTACATGCATGCACGTTTATCAATGTACTTATATAGATGTTTTAAATTATATATTGACAGGCTGGCACTATTGCGACATTGATGGACGTCAGGCCTCGTTTCTTTGCCCCAACGGCACACAGTTCTCTCAGGCGGTCTTCGTCTGCGACTGGTGGTTCAATGTACGCTGCGATCTCTCCCCCCGGCTGTATGCGATCAATGCGCGTCTCTATCAGCGCCCCAAGGTGAATCCAACGCGACCACATCGCATCATTACCAAGCAGCTGGTCGAAGACATATTTACTTGAGCTGCATACCTTATTAATAGACTTTATTTAACATAGTTTTGTTGACGACTATTAGTGGTTAGATTTGGTTTCCTTAGCCACGAGCATACTTATCCATCATGTGTTTTAGATGTTTCTGATTAACTTTTGGACAGCTTTCGGCTAAAAGATTTATTTGTAAGTATCAAAGTAAACTGAAAATATAAACTGGTCGCTAATTAGAACTTTAGGAATCGTAAAATTTCTTGTATTCAAAAATAACCTTGCAAAACCTGAAAGTAAGGTTATAATGCGGCTCATAAAAATAAATATGTAGAAATATTCCTAGAAACCAATAAGTACATATACAAAGTTTGGCAGATGACCCTCTTAATCAAGAATAAAATTCGAGGGTATGCGACGAAAAGAAAAGTCTCATTTAATAATTCATTACGCAAGGTTCTCAAGGCTTAATGCCTTTCGTCCGCCGTCTGAGGAGCTCGAAATAGTTTAATATTTTAAGAAATTATAAATAACTGCATTTTCAGCTTGTGCTAATTTAAAGTGCATGCATTTTCATGATTAGATATGTTTTCATACATAAGATTCACTTTAAATGTAAAGTTTTGTGTACATATTAGTTTAAATCTAAATAAAAAATATTCTTAAGTTAAGAAAAATTTAACTTGCATTGTGCTTTATTATGTGTGGGTGGATAAATGAAAGTTCTTACAGTCCTTTATCGAATATCAAAAAAAAAAAAATGTTCAGAACATAAACATAATATTGTAGCTGAGCTAAACGCAATCGCTTTATTTGTTTTTCTTACAGCTTTGCAGATTGATTATAAAATTAGCAGAACTGTTAGATCAGAAAACTACAGTAACAACTATCGTGTGAGAAACAAAAATATCTTACAACCAAATACGAGTTTTTAGGGGGCACAGAACTTTTTTTGTGAATGCTTTAAAAGCCTGATTAAAATCAATGAAAAGATTTTAAATCTTATAAATATTTTACCTGCTATGATTTAAGCTTTTCATTTAATTTGATTGATATTGAACTTTTTGGTTAAATATGGCCGTTGTTAGCCAAGACGTTCCCAAACCAATGAGCTAGTAATTCTAATTTGTTGTAGTTTTTCTTTTAGCAATGGACAACAATTTCTCCAAAATCGTTTAGAGATTATCGCTTATTATTGCATATCTCCAAGACGATTGGTACTCAAGAATTTCCACACTTTTATGTTGCCTACTTCTAGGCACACACAAAATATGTGTTGATGCCACCGCAACTGTTGCACACTTTTGGTTGCTGCATGTGGCGACTAAAAATAAGCCAAACGTGGCCAAAACAACATCACAACATTGGCCTTAGTGAAAGTTTTACTTTAAAAGCTGTTCAAGCAAGCGGCTCAATGGTCTAGGGGTATGATTCTCGCTTTGGGTGCGAGAGGTCCCGGGTTCAAATCCCGGTTGAGCCCGGCAATAAAATTTATTTTGGCCAACATTTTAGAAACTTTACGGCCGGTCGGTTTTTATGGTAAGTTAATTAAACAAACAAGCCGAGCGATTGGCGAGTGCAGATATGAGCAAATGCATTTTGGCTAACAGCTGCTGCAACATTTGAGAGATGGCTGCCGGTTGATTTGAGCGGGAGCCAACGGCTAAGACGATAATGAACGGTGGGGTCCCGCGTACGGGCCATGGCTAAAATATTTTCATGCAACTTGTTTTGGAGCGGCAACGATTGACAAGACGATAAAGCATTGTATGTGCGTGTGTGCGAGCGAATGAATGAGTATGAGTATGAGTGTGTGTGTGTGTTTTATCGACGACAATTGGAAAATTGTGAACAATGCATTTGTTTTGCCGGCGCTTGCATTCGCTTTTGGCCAGTTGGCGCAGCTGGTGTCAATAGATTAAAAAGAAAAGATCCAAATGCCCGAAAATCCAGAGATCATGATGCAAGCGTGAGTAATTTCTCTTGCTTTGTGTGAGTGTGTGTGGAAACCGATGAAAAGGCAGGCAGTAATCTATAGCCATAAATAATTGAACCAAAGAATGGAGACATCATCTTAGGCTTATTTAAACACGTATTACCAAATATAAATTCAAATCATAAACCACTTTCACCTGGCGGCGCGCAGCACAAATCAAATCACAGCTAGTGATATGCAATTTTTTTCGAATATTATTTTTGATTTTGTGGCCTTAGCATCATTCGCCAAAGCGGGACCCAAGCTGCAGGCCACAAAAAATCAAGTATATAATAATAAAAAAGTATAAAGCTCCAGAGCAGTTGCGTTGGCCGAGACACAAACCGGCAACAAGTGCCAGCCAGTTAACCAGTCGAACCAAAATATCAACAACAATATCAGTCAAACCAAAAACAGCTCACTCTTTAGCCTAGCATTTGCTCAATCCATGACAGCCCACAGCAGCTGCCTGTGTCAAATCATGAATTCAAAAATGTTTTCTTAGCGATGGACCCGTGACAAATAATCCTAGCAAAGTTGACACTCAAATGAAACTGATTGTCAGCTTCAAGACACGAAATGCTCAGGCGCAGCCAACTTAATATGCTTTAAAGTAGACCTAGCTGTCTTAATTTAGGCGGAAAGTGTTAGAACTTAGTTGTGGAAAAAGTGAGTATGATCATTGCTGTCAAATGAATGCTTTTTCAAGCAATTTTGATTTAAGAGTAATTCATGGCGTTGCCAGGAGTTTAATATAGAAGTCAACTTTAACACTTAAAATAGTGAAAGACACTTAGAGTTCAAACAGTTAACATATAGAAAAATATTTCAGTTGATCCTAATCCTTCATCAGATCCTTATGAAAAGTAATAAGTTTTTAAAATAAATGCAATCCCCCGAAAATATATATGTTTGCCCATCTCTAATGTACATGCTCCATTGCAAACTTTTGCCTGCATTTGTTAAATTTCAAAGTTATGACACTGTGATTAAAATTGTTGCTGGCTGTTGGTCGTTTGCTGTCTACAAACGAGAAGTGTTCACTGTATGACGACCAACTGACAACGGAACAACAAGCTGCAAAAAGAGTTTCACATGTTCTTTTTGGCTGGCGCACACTTGGCGTATGTGTAATATTTTGGGTTAATGTTTTGTAAAAGGCACCAGCAGCAGCAAGAAAAACATGAAATCGAATCAATTGCAATTGCACCCAACAAATCACAAGCTTTTGCTGCATGCACTTGTTGGCTTGGCCAACAAATTAGCGTCTAGCTGGAGACGGAGTCTCAGGTGTGGTTTTACCGTTAATGACTTCTGCTAGCGGCCAGAAAAAAACCCATTTTAATGAGGCATCGGCAAGCGAGCAGCAGGTAGTTCAAACAACCGATCAGCTGCCATGATCAATGAACTGTTATGCTTGTATTTATATACCCTGTAGCCATTGAAAAGATAAAGAGGGCATGTTCTATTTGGGTATGTTTAGCAAGCAAATGAAAGAATCCCCATTAGATATATCGAGACGATCTAGACATATCCAGAATTAACAAAAGCTAGCGCCTCGAGATTTAAAATATATATTCTTAAATACCATACGCGAAACTAGATAATATTCTTTTGGATATTTTTTCACATGTTCAAAACATCGATGAACCTCGATTTTGGCCTATGGTTTTGTGAATATAGTTCTTTTATTAAAGAAGAAACCAAGTGGAAGAAGCAAAAGCACATTCGTAGTGGAGGCTATCATTGCAACAGCAGCTCGGCGCTTTGTACAGAGTATCCCCAAGTCGCGAACATGCGACTAGAGCACCTACTTATTTTAAGAGCTGGTCAAACATCAAGTGAATGCCATTTGCTTTGAAATAGAAAAAGTGAATGTTAACAGTGAAAGGATTCGCTCAAGGTGCGCCTTAATGTTGGCCTACAGAGCATCCCCATGCGGCCTATACACTGCACAAAAGTGTATTATTTGATTGCACAAGGCAGCAGAGGCAGCTAATTTGACTATTATTGCGTTTCAATTAAAGCAAATGTTGGCATCAGAGTAGACTAGCTTAAGGCTTAAGAGTTAAAGAATTGGTAAAGTGTGCTCCTACTCGCCACTCGCTGTGGAAATACGAGAGCCACCACAAGTCACGCAATTGAGTGTAAGATTATATTTTTCATTCAGAAAAAACAAGAGAAAAATATTAATAATAATGGTAAGACGTCAAAGAGAAGCGTGCACATTTTCACTTATGCATTTTCCCTTTGCCATGAGGCAACCTGCCTGCATGTTACGTGGCCAGCAGCTCAGCTCGAACCACGCAGATGTAACATTAGCTGGCGCAAAAACTCGGTTACTTGGTCAGCTGCAGGCAAAAGCACCCACAACACAACATATAACACAACCACAGGCATCTGCCGTCACGCAGCTGTCCATAATGCAAGCAAGTGTTGCATCATTATTAACAGAGTTATGTCTTAATTATGTTTTAAATATTATGAAGAATGCTACAAAAAAAAAAAAATAAATAAGACGAGCCAATTGCACTTTAACAATTGAAAAACGATTCCGAACTATTCCGCATTTGATTCCTTCTTTTAATTTTTTTGAATTCCATTTTGTAAATTCTTAAAAAACTATTAAAATATGCAACAGCTTTTTTAATTACTTTAAAGTTTTTTACTTTGCTTTTCTTACATTATGTTTGGTACGTATGTTAATTTATTTTTTTTTTATTTATTTTAAAGTTTAAATATTGAATAAATGACCTGGAGTCGTATCAGAAATCTTTTAGCCAGAGAATTTGTTTGTACCATAAGAAATTCTTAACATCATAAGGGGCAATATAAGTTTCTGAATTTTTCCAAACAGCTCGATGAGTCATCAAACCCAACCCATTTTTTTCGATAACAACTAGCTAAACTAAACTAATAAAGAGGCTCAGAGCTCAACTTTAACCATATTGCAAAATTCACGAAAAAAATAAAATAACAGATAAAAGTATCAACAAGTTATAGACACAAAAGAGAATATACGCTTAATGACACGCATTTATAATCAGAGTTATAAGAACAAGGTGTTAGTCATCAACATAACTTTTAAATAGCACTGGCCTAAATTATCAGAGACTAGCCAAGGATGGGAGTCCGGATTCCTATTGTGCTGAATGCTGAATAAGTGGGTTACCTATATAAATAATCTATCAAGAACTGATATTATTATAAGAATCAAATTTGTAGTTTTTAACAATTTTATGCCATGTTAACAGTAACAAATTGTTGATCTAGCTTAGATATCATCGGCTATACTATGATCTTATCATACATGACACAGCAAAGTGATTTTAACTAGAACACTTGGCCAACTCTTTTAACAAGGTCGCTTATTGCCCATACATGAGTACATACATATGTATATGTATGTATGGTTGTTTTGAATATAACACACACTCACAGCTAACCCATCAAGTTGGAAATGAAAACAAATTAAATCCCCAAAACTCACAACGAGACTGCTAACCATTACAGGCATTCACAAATTAAGTGTAAATAACACGTTTGAATAAACAACAAATAGATCATCAGGCGAGATGGAAAAAAGGTGATGGCAGATGGCAGCAGCTGCAGCAGTAGAAAAGTGCTTGTCAACTTGACAACAGGTTGAGGTGCGGATCAGAGAGAGGTCGAGAGCAAAGTGCATTTGCATAATGAAAATGCAGTTTGAATGAAACGCTGGACACATGTCAACGAATAAATTAATTTACTCTCTCATATTATTTATGCAGCAAACACAGGCGGCTAAACCAAACGAGCCGCCTGCAAGGCACAGACAATGGCTGAGATAGACTCGAACTAGGTTTAAGCAGTGCTGTCGCGTGTTGCTGCAATACAATAACTAAAAGAAGCTAAAAATTGACAATGTGGTCCATTGGATTAAGTGTACAATGTTCGGAGGACACATAAAAGCAAAGAGCTGCCTTCTCTTGAGGAGTTGAAAAGGATCGTTTGCTGGTTTGTCATTTTGAGTCATACAATTTTGTTTTTATTTAGTTTATCTAGACTTGCAGTAGGTGCAATATGCATTTATTGGCAGTGCTTGAACTTAGATTATCTAACCAATCATCGCGCTACTGCTAAACTAACTATTTAGTATTGAAACAACATTATTTCACAGACCTTCTATGCCAATACAATAAAACAGTTCATACAAGACAAAAAATACAATTATGCGACACCTTTAAAGCCTTCAACCTCGAACCTCGAGCCAGTAAATAATAATATTTATAAAATAGAAAGGTCGCATAAACCCAACATCCATATAATATATTATATACATGAGCTATGCTCATATTTTTTACCACGCGGTTAAAAAAGTTAAATAACATTAGGTGACAAGAATTCTCTGTAAAATCTAAAACAAAATAGCTTTATTCCAAAAACAAGCGGAATTTCAACAATTTCAAGTTGGCAACCTACGAAAATAGCCAAATAGAGCTTTAAAAAAGCTGACTTGGCCACACCTGTATTAAGCCAATTGTGCAGATGCTGGCGAGCTTGGCTACCACCCTATCAATGGAGCTCGGGGGTGTAACTGAGTGTGGCCACTGTTTGGGCGTAGCTTTTGCCTTGACTAGAGTCACAACTGAGCTGTGGCCAGAGCGAAGAGCAATGTGCACTTTGTTGGGCAACGATGACAGTTGCATTAATTGTATGGCTCAATTTTGGCTTAATGCTGAGGCAGCACAACTTAAATCTAGTAAGTAGCTTGGCCATTAAATTTGCTCCCCTGCTGCGGGCTCTCTCTAACCCGTGCCCCCTGCTGGCCATATTTCAATTATAAAGAACTCAAACGAACTCAAAGGCGTGCAATTTTCAAATGCCAATTGATTTTGCAGCACTGACTGAGCTGCCGCCGCCCGCCCCCGTACACCCACCGCCCATTCTCAGCCTGAAAAAATAAAAATCAAACCATTTCCGACAGCGTTGGTTGGCGACTTGTTAGTTGCAGTGTTTTTGTGCGGGCAGGCAAACAAATGCGGCAATTGGTATAACATAACTAGCGGAAAACACGGTGTTAAATAAAAGTGATTGACTAGCAGTTACTATAGGTTTACATAAATCGCTAAATCGAATAAAAATAAAATAAAATATTCAAAATATTTTAAAGAAGTTCTTAGTATACCCTGTAAGAAAAGGTTAGAATCAAATTTCATAGAAAATTCTATAAATCCAATTTTTCACTTTTAAAATATATTAATTATAATTTAAATAAAAGGAACATTTCTTGTAATAAGAAGAAAATGGTTGCTCCGACTTTGGAAGAAAATATCAAGAATCCCATTTTCTTTCTATTAAAAAAACAGCCCTTTTCGGTTATGATAATTTTTACAAGTTTAGGTTTTGAGTGTATGTTAAGAACTTGATATCGTCATACTTACCTTCGTCAATTTTAGAGCTTCTGCCCGGAATAACCAACCAAGTTAAATAAAAGAAATTTCAGACTATTTTCCATAGCTTAATAGTTAATTAAGTTAAGGTGTATTTATAGTTAACTATTACCATTAATAAAGTAATATAGATTAATCGATTATGTTCAATATACAAAAAAATTAATCAAAGTCGTTTTCTCTTCCATGCAATATACATTGGCATATCTTAAGACTTAAAATATGATTGTAAACAAAACCGAAAAAAATTCAACAAACTGCTTTCAGGTCAAAAATGTAAGAATTGAAACTTTCGTTTCATGCCTTTTCCGATATATATTTCGGTTTTTTTTTTTGATAAATCATCAAAAATGTCCTTAATTAAATTTGTATCAAACAAAACAATTGAAATTCACACAAATTAAATAATTCTAGTAATGTTTACAGTGGCAGGCCAGAGGGTATTGAAAACGCGGTCCCATTTCCCAAGAAAATCAGAAAGTCAGACTAGCATAGAGTCCGAGAGTCTGGGCTAAGTGGAGCCTCAGTGACGCCCAGTTCGCAGTTCCATTCAATTGCGTTTGGCATTCGAGGCGCGTGATTTTGCAACTTGTGAGCTGGATTTGCCTTGTACTATTTTTGCAGGCGAACAGACAGACAGACAGAGAGACAGACCGACAGACCAAGAGACCAACAGGCGACCGCAGCACCCGCAACATTTTGCCAGCAGCCACCGCAGCTACAATGTTGACAACAGCGACCCATGCGGATCCGCATCCGTGGTCATTTCCATTTCCATGTCCAGCATTCAAAACCATTTAAGCGCTTTGCCTAGGTCGGGTTTCTGCTTCAGCCTTTTTGTGCTCCCTTTTTTTACGGCGTCTTTTTTTTCTCCTTTTTATGGGTTATTTTGACGCCATTGGCGCTTTGCATTTGCCTCCTTTGCGGGCAGTTGGTAAGTGAAAAAAAGAAGAGGAAGAAAATAAAACGAGAGCCAGAGGAAAGAGCATGTTATATTTCTTTGGCTGGGCATTATAATTGAAAATCCCACAAAGGTGTCGTCTGTGTGCTTTGTGACTAAATTGAATTTAGTAATCGGTTCTTTACTATTTCATTTTTTCTGCCACCCGTTTAGATACTAAACAACAACCTAACAGGTTATTTCTAACAAAAAAAAAAAAACGAAAAAAAATAAACCTAATGAAAAGTAACAACCTAATCAATGGATTTTTCAGCACCTGCGGCTGGCACTAGTTCATTTAAGAGACGACTTTGTGTGCTGGGGTTTTCCCTAATTTAAAGGTCATAAAAATTGAATTGAAAAAAGAGTTATAAAAATTGTGGCATATAGCTTTATCTGTGTACAACACGCGAACTCAAGTTGCCTCAGTTTTTAATTGTTTCGCATTCATTTATGGGAAAAACTTACATTTCCACCACATTTTATTCATGCAATTAAACTGGAAACTAACTAATTGAACCTGAAAACTAGCAAATTAAAACGTAAATGTAAATGTTGAAAAAATTAACGACATTCATTAATCAACATCAGTGTGAAAAGCGAAAACAATATAACATAATTTCAGGTCATTGTATATGATATCTAATACGTGTATAATACATGTATATACGTTTGCGTCTTAACGTGGCCATAAATTAATCTTACGACTTATCAATAAGTCAAACTTATAGAAAGTGCAACGCTTGCCGCGTGCTGGTCAAAACATATTTGGGAAATAAATGGAAAGAGCTGCGCGCAAATACTCTTTTGAATGTGTTGAAACTAATAAAAGTTATTATATCAGGCAAAATATATAAAAGGTATTAAACAATGATAAAATAATGTTATATTATGACATAAAAATAACTTTACGCAGTACTAAGAAAATAAATTACATCTTTTTATAAAGTAATTAATTAATATAATGAAGTATTTATAATAATAGAGCTGAGCTCAAGGCAAATTATCTCTTAAATGCGTGGAAAATAATAAAAGTAATATAACCAATTAAAAAACAAAACAAGTTTTAAATAATATATAATTATAAACATAGTATACGTAATGACAAATATAATAAAACCTGTATATATTATAACAAATATAAATTATAAGGTAATTAATTAATTTAATAAAGTATTTATTTCATTACACATAAAAAACTTTTACCTAAGCAAAATAGAATCTAAGTAATAAATATAAATAAATATGCCAGTCAGCATATATTGGGTTCATAAGTCATTAGATCATTTTTTGTTGTTTCTTTTAATATTGTATAACATATAAAATTTTGATATTGTTTTATTACAAACCATTTCTAATTAATCGATATGCTATTCCAGTCAATGACCTTATATGACAATTTTCTTGGGATTATTTTAATGTGAATAATTTGTAAATTGAAAGCGAAAGTAGTTGAAAACATTTATCATCAGAGCCTAGAGAACAAGATCGCAAATATGAAGATTAATGTGATTAAACATAAATATGTATGCATGTGTGTAAATTTAGGTACATGTGTATAAACTATAAGCCGTAATGCTATCAGCATAATTAAATATTGAGATCTTTCTGTTGAAATTTACTAAGTGGAGAGGAGCTGATAATATGTTATTTATATTTGCACGAAAAGCGAATTATGCACAGTGAAAGGCGGCAATGGATAATGTAAATAAATAGAATCAGCCCCCGGCGCAGGTCTCTTAAACTGGAAAATCAATCAATTTAATGAGAAGCTCAACCCATGTAATTGCCCGTTAATGGCTTCATTACAAGCTGAAAGAGACAGCAAGAAAAGCAAAAACAGCGAAACGGTAGTAAAACAAAACAAAGACCTGACCTAGGGCAATGCAAAGGCAAAACCAAAAAAAAAATAAAATAAAAACAAGACAAGACGCAAACAGACAGTGTGGGCAGCGGGCGGACGGGCGGTTAGCTGGCAGCACTATCATCAGTCGACGTCGGCAGACCATAGCACGCGTTTGCTGACCGCACAAATAGCAGCCGAAAATGCAGAAGAGAGAGGGAGAGCGCGCACGCTCTCGCGCAGTCGACAAGCAAGCAGTGCGCACTGCTTGCTTCAAGCCACAGCAATTCAAATAAACGAAACACGCCGCGGCGTCGCCTCAGTTTCAATTGGAACGTTGCGCATGCGCCGTGCACAAATTTTACGCGCGCGCTTTTCCGTTAACTGCGCTTCGATAAGCAAATTGTTGTTTGATTTTGGTTTGTGCGAGATGTTTGCCAATTAATCAGTTTCCAAATATATAAAAAAAAAAAACACATACAAATATTTCGTGCACAAATTCTAGACAATTTATAAAAATAAATGTCAACGATCGCGCACACGTGAAAGTTGGTCGTCGACCAAAAATTCTTATAAAATTACGTTGTTTGTGTAAAAGAAAGAACAAAAAAAAGTGAAAATATGCCGAAGCGCCAAGATTATTGTTAATGAACCCTTATACAAATGACCCCTCTGAATAATCTTTCTAGGCACGCCATAAAAAAGACAGATTTATGCACCAATTTGCATTGATAGCCCAAATTTTTCTTGTTTATTTTGGTAGAGAGAGCGGCAAATTAGTGTAAATGCTTTGGTAATTTCGAGGTGTCAAAAGGCCATAAATATGCATAAAGAGCATTGCAAAAAATACAAATCTTTTCTCAATAAAGGCTTAGTTTTTGTTTTGTTATCTGACATAAAGACATGATTAGTATTTTGGATTTTATATTTTTTTTGGGTCACGCCTAAATCATAAATATAAATTTCACCCGCAATTTAAACTTCTTAACTTTCCAAACAGTTTTTCAAGACATCTCTTCTGATTCTATTGCATCAAACAACTGTTACTTTTAACGCTCCACAGATAAATATCAAAAGCCCACATCTTCAGAAAAAAGACAATACCGATTTAGACATTCTCTTTTTATTGTTATTATTATTTGGGGGAAAATAATTTATGCGTAGGCAACGCCCACAAATAGAACCTTATTTCTTTTTGGAGCTTTCTATCCAAGCAAAGTGCATAAATTAAAAGTCAACATATTTGTTTCAATTTATCAGACCATAAACTAATGGTATCTATTTGCAGACTATAGATTTAATATGTTTTTATAAGCTGTTGATTTAAAACAAGAACCCAAACCGAGCAGTTGATTTATAAACGCAATCGCAGTATCTCCATCAAAAGAGGAATCCACCGCACAAAAAATGCGCAGTCAGAGCCGTAGCAGTTGCTGCTGGTTGTTGCCATTGGCATTTGGTAAGTACAAATCAAAATCGAAAACAAGTAGGAATTTTGCAATCGGATGCAACCGACTGCGCGATACTTTATCGTAGTTCCAATAACAGCTTACAACAGGCTACATTTTATTTTTATATATATTTTTGGATTCAATTTGAGAAAAATTCCTTAATAATCTTCAGTTCGAATTCCCTCTTTCCCTTTCTCTTAAAATGTTGAAGACGTAGATATTCGCTACTCGGCACGCCCCCAACGGACATATCCATAACATCTGAAGACTATCTAAATAATGTATACAGTAGTTTCAAAGTTTGTTACATTAATTTCACTTTCATTCACAAATAACCAGGACTGCAATAGCCCGACCTGAAACCAACATCAAATAATCAAAAACTAAATTATATTTTTTACTTTGAGTCGAACCTTAAACTTAACCGGTTGCCCAGGACAAGAATAAAGCCCAAAGCATAAATAACTTCGGGTGCTATAGGTATATATTAGATTTTTGGTTAGAGTTCAAACTTATCTCGAATATTTCATATAAAATTTCAATATATTCTATTAAATTTTCAATTATAAACTTAAAATTAAGTTCTCTTATAAAAATGTCAAAGTGTGAGAGGAAACAAGATTAGAAATTAAACCCTGCTTCAAGATTTGCCAAATGAGGTTGACTAACCAAAGCTGAAGGCAGGCGTCAACGAATCTTTTGGCGTTGGCAGCAGTCCAACAGGAAACCTATAAACTCTTTTTCGCTTGGCGAACGAGTATAATTACCCGTTCATACCGCTAGTCGATAAACTCGTTTCTCTTGCCACGGGATGCTGGTGCCGCAGCTGAGGTGCTTCAACGAGAGCAAGGTCGCAAATGTCGCTGCACATGCGAGTAAATATTGGCTAGAAATTATGCAATCCCCTAGGGGGACCAGCTGACAACGAATGAAACCTGGTCGATCGGTCTGTGCTGCCCCCAAGGATTACGCAGGACATTACGAAACATCAACAAGAGTGCAGCGCAAACGACCGCCAATCGTCAGGAGCTGGTCATGAATTATGAAAATTATGTGTAAGCTCCGGCTAATACCGCATCTGGCCGAATTGATAAAAATCCAAAATACGTGCGTACAGCGGCATTTGATTCGTTTAACATTGCACGGTTGAGCAATGCGCTGCACAATGTTACCGCTGGGTCTGTGTCTGCGGATAAGCTGCAGCGGTCAACGGAACTGCTACCCATGAGGTTGTAGCCGCAAGAAGAGGTTCATCATACTCATTGACAGCAAGCGAATTACAATGTCGGATAACTGTCTAACAGCATGTTGACCTGGCTAGGGGTGTGTGTATGTGGGAGCGGGACGTGTTCATTTCTCTGGTTGCAAACGTGCAACATTTTGTGTGCGCAGCATTTGCAACTGCGAAATATGTAGCTAATTTATGCAGCTCGTCAGCTCGTGGAATGTGCTTTCGTGGGAGTTTTTGGGTAGCTTCCTTTGATGCATTGCTTCAATATACTTGTATAGTAGGGGTGGATTTTTAGGCACCTGCTATTTTAGACATCCGTAGTACAGTACGTAAGCAATCCAATACAAAATACAGCTTTCAAGTAGTTACGAAATGTCGCAAGCAGTGCTGCCAAATGCAGTTGTATAGGTTAATGTATGCACATGTATTAGTTCACGCTGCTTTGCGCTCACTTTTAACTTACGAAGCGTCCACGTGCATGTGCCTTATACGTGTGTTTTCAAATCGGAAAGTTAAATGATTCTATACCTCCCTCATGACTATTAGTAAATTCCCACATAATCTTACTATATTCACTTCGTGGTTTACTTACTTATACTAAGGAGATCAAGTATCAGCTCTGGAGTGCAAAAAATGCGTGTATTTAATGTAAATAATCATCATTTTAATCAAGTATTTCCATCCTCATATCAATATTTACAATCGTGCACTCAAACTATATCTAAGCTGCGCTTCGCTCTTTTTTCAGTTAATTTAAAGATAAACAACTTGAAAAAATTGTATTAATCATATGTTGCAAAAGTTGCAGATTTGAATTAAATTTTAGTTGACAATTAGCACTAATACATTTCCCAAGCGTTTGCAAAATAAATAAAGCCGACAGCACTTTCCCTCGACACTATGTTAATAGCTTCCTAAATATATAATAGCCAAAAAAAGAAAACAAACAAATTCACGTTCACGTTCACTAATTACCTCCAAACTGTGCAAATTTGTAAACATTTTTTGAGGCTTTACATCATAATTTGAGTTTGTCAACTTTTTGGCTTTTGCTAAATTTACGATTTTTGTGTATATATATACTTTTTGGTCAAGTCATGCAGACTAAACTTAAATAATGGTTTTCAGCTGGCGGCCAACAGCCAACTACCAATGTGTTCCAAGTGGCAACAACGCCCACCTGAAAAAGTGCAGGCAAGCGCTGAGGCAGCGACAGGGGCAGGGGCAGCCGCATAGAAAATGTTGTAAGCCTGAGCTTGGACGCCAGTTAAAACAAGATTTTTCACTTGCCGCGTGGACAAACATTGCGCGCTGGTGAAAAGAAAAAGTAAAATGTTTGCCGAAAAACAAAAAAACGTTGAGAAGAAAAATGTATCTGCTGAGGCAGTTAACGGAAACACCGCCGCGGCTAGTTGCAGGCTGTGTCAATGACTTTGAAATGATTTCAGCGCGCTCGCGAGTTTCTCAATTCGAATTTCACTGACTGCGGGTCAGCATCGTACGTGGATTTGATTAGCAATTGGATAATTGATATAATGCGATCTTAAACTGATCGAAAGCGAAATAGTGCCGAATACGTGACGTTACACTTTCAACTTGCAGCCAAACTGTGGGTCGGAATACCAAATGGAAATCCTGATCAGAGCTGCAAGCCGCGCATAGTCTGACAGTTAGCCAGATTCAAACGGATATGACGCGCACTTTTTAATACATTTAGTAGCAGCGCCTGTTAAGTAAATAGCTTATTGCAAGACAGATTTGTCTTAAAACAAGTTGCGCAACTTTTGCTTTCAGGCTGTTGCGACTTTTCAAGTTCAATGCTGCTGCTGCTTGGCTTTTCCAATCAGGCCGCCCACTTCCTGTCCAGATTATGCATTTTGCATTTCGATTTACATATGCAAATCTGTTTGTAATTTCGTTTCTGGACACGTCAACCGGTTGATCAAACTTGAGTCCTACATGCAAATTTTACAATTTCACGCGGCGCATTGCAACAGTTTTAATATACCCTGAGCCCATTGCATATAGCAAAAAAGGGTATTATGATGCTGTGCAACTGTATGTTACACGTAGAAGAGCTGTGTTAATCTAGATAACTTGGAAACTACAAATGATTTAGACTCCGAATTGGGAATGCACATTTAAGTGTCCCATACGTAGAACTAATTAATTATTTCCTCCATTTTCACATTTCCCTTATATGTATATCGATTTAAAGGCTAGTTTTCTAAGCATCGCTGAATATGAGAGCTTGGTATGACGGTTCTTGTCTATCCTACACATTTTGGATATCTCCTCCATTCTGTTTAAAATTGCTAAAAATCTCATTATAAAAGAGTGGAGTAGAGTTTTTCGCCATGGTATATACACACTTTTGTATATCCGATTTAAGCCCTAAAAATTTTATTAATGATCAAAGTCGAAACATCCAAGGTAAATCAATGCGTTATCCAATACATAGTGTGGGGCTAAGTGAAGCATGAAGAATAATGTATAAAAGAAGGAAGCTGGAATGTTTTTAAAGGCACCATAACGCAGGGTTTAAGGTATCTCCCAGGCGGACATGCCTATGCTTTAGCAGTCTAATTTTTTCTGCAAGTTGCTTTCATTTGAATTGGGCTTTTCATTTGCATTGGAGCTTTGATTGCTTTATGGCCTCTGGCCAAATTTGCACAATTTTCACCCAAAAGCAGTTAATATCTTGGCAACACAATTGGTTAGCCCGTTTGGCAGATCAAGTGCTTTACTTAACTAGGCGGAAGACAACACCTAACCGTTAAACCTGATTTTAAGACTTTGCGGACTCAACAATGACTGCATAACAGGTGGAAGTATTTGGGCAAAACCGGTGCCAATAAAAATAAGCCTTAGAGGTTCTATTCACATACAACTTGTCGCGAGTATTCCTTAATAAAAAGCTTTCGTTCTGACTTTTAATGTATATAAATTAATTTTTGAATTGTTTGCCATATTTAAATGTTAAGAATGAGGTGAAGTTGTCTAACCAAAAACCCACTTTTTTCGGCTGCATTATTAAGAAATCAAACGCAATGTGTCATAATCGCAATCAAAGGCAACAACACCACACAAGCAATTATATAAAAAACAAAAGAGCTGAGGGAAAAGCACCTCATACATGACTTTTCTTCAATCAAAATTCAAATGAAAGCTACGCAAACTTAACCGAAGACTAAATACTCTTGTAACTATCGATAGATAAGTGTTTATTATCGATCAAAGGCTCGATACCATTGGAATTTATTAAGATTAAAATCTATCTTATGTAAGAAAAAAATGCTAATTGTAACGATGACTATCGCTTAATTCCACCCAGCATCGATGATAATATGGCAAGTTATGGCCGCGCACTACAGCTGTCCTTATCGATTATTTTGCGACTATATACACTTCTATGTCACATAATCAACAGCACCAAACTGTTATAAAATTGAATATTATATTATAAGAAGCTAAACAATAGATAGCAAATTATCTATAAAACCGATAGCGTCGAAATAAGTATTTAACAAGGAACTAAACGAAACGATTTGAAATAATTTACAGTTTAAAGAACTTGTAAGATAGCAGAAAGATTAAAACCAGTTTAGCTTAACGGGTTTAGTGAACTGGCTCTTAACAGTGAAAGCCCAATGTATCCAATGTCAAGCGTCTCAGCCTTTAGTTGGTAAATAAGCTTATTCAGACATTTAGACATTTCTGGGCGTTGCGTGCCAATAATTTAGATTTCGTATAGCATCAAAATTCTCAGGAAAGCAG